AAGTATATACAAATACAATTTAGGACGTTTTTACTGTTATTTACAAATAAGTAATAATGCATAATATAAGAAATGTTTGTGAATACTCAAATTTATTTAACCTCCTAATTTATTATACATGGAAAATAAACTATATTTATTTTTTTGTTATAAAGTATACATAAGAATAACAATAAATTTTGATCTATATTAGATGTCATATTATACTGCTATTATCATGCACACAATATAATGAATAATATTCACTTAAATATTTAAATGCATAATTTACATGCGTTTTGCATCACTTGAATAATTGCATGAACGTTATTTCTCCCGCGTAGACATTTTAATTTTTTTTTAAATGTAAGTAAAAAATATGAATGATAATATAAACTATGAATATTTAATATAATATGTGTATAATAGATGTTGTTAATGTATAAATAATTGTACATGCACAATTTAATTTAATATATATATATGTTCTTTTTTAAGTATCCAGCTATATTGTAATAAAATACAAATTACAGTTTTTAACTATTGAAAAGATAAACCCGGAAGAACCCCATTATAATTTTATCTTGCTATGAAAGTGGTAATAATGAAGATTAATAATATAAAAGAATTTTTTAAATCCTTTCTTTTTTTTAATATTGTTTCTTTTTTATATTTTCAACCATGATTTATCACTATTATATTATTTTTTGTTTAGCTTTACAATATTTATTTTTGAAGGACCCTCGAAAATACTTAGAATGGAAATGTAATTCAGATAATCCATTGAATATAAATTTTAACAGACTGTTGGCAAAAACTAAGAATGAAGAAAATAGTGAACAAAAATGTCTAAATATAAAACATTCCGTTCATGGGAGGAATAAGGAAATGAAAAAAGTAAAAATACACGCACCAACATATAAAAAAGTGAAAAAAATGAAAATGAATGAGTTAAATTATTATATGAAAAGTTATAAGGATCGATATGATAAAAGAATAGGATTAGGAAAGCTTGACTGTTATTGTGAAAACAAGATATTTAAAGGGATAGACAAAATAAGTAAACTTGCAAATAGCGCAAATATGACAAAAAGCAAATTTAAGAAGAAAATACGTAAAAAATATGGACTTCGTATTGGCTTGATTTATTTCTTTTACGTTCTTGCTTTATCGATTGGAACTCTGGATATTATAAATAGGAAGTGTTCTCTTGGTATTTGCAAAGAATTTTATGATGATGGAGGTGAATTCTTGATACCATTACTGGGGGACATCTTTGTATATGTAATACCCACTATACTTACATTAATAATTATCTATGTTATGATGAAAATTGTAAAATATGAAAGATTAAAATTACGTAAAGTTAAAATGAATGTAAAAGAATATTTTCATTTATATAAGAACATATTCTAAATTATTTTGTTCATTTTATGTTATTATTTATATCTCTCACATTGTAAGTTAGTATTTTACTCATTCTTACAGACTCTTCGCATATAATAAGTACACTATAATAGATGCATTAGTATCTATTAATAGTATTTATTTGAATATTATTTGTTGATGTTACTTTAGCATATATCATGATTCGTTTTTCTTCAATCAATTTCCAAACTGTGTGCGTAAAGCATTATGATATTTGTTATGTGCGTAGATGTTAATTTAACATAGTTTATGTATGGGGGAAGAATGCTTCCATTGAATATACAAAAATATATTGAAATATATCCATTTGTGCTTAAACTTTAAATGTTTCTATCTTTTTATAAAGAGTTTACACTTGATTAATTAAAATTTTAAATTGATTTTTCTATGTTTTTTTACCTATTGTCTATGTTCTCTTGATTGTGTGAATGCGTAATTTAAAAAATATATTTTTTATTAAATTTGTCGTATGCCTAATTCGTTAATAATGACAAGTAGTTTTATATGAAATCTTCTCTTTTACTTTTTTACGCCTTTTTTTTTCATATATGGCGTAAGAAAAATATAGTGTTTGTTTTCATATAAACTATAATTGTAAAAACTATAAAATTTTAAGTAATATTTTAATTAAATAAATATGTGATAGTAAAATATCATATAAATGACCTAGTATTGGAGGATCCAAGTATTTGAATCGTGAATTATCTATTATTATTAATTTTTAAATATATATTTCATTTATTATTATGTACTGTTAAAAAATAATGTATATTTTTTTAATTCATCGAAATTCTCAAATGTTCATATTTGTACTATTATGAAATGCATAAAGAGGAATCAGGTTTATTATCATTCTTATTTTAGTAATAGATCTATTTTTATTATCTATTTTACAATTTTCTTATACATTGTCTTCTGTTTATATTGTCTATATATATTTGACTTTCATGAATGAGATTAATTATGAGACAAAGTAATTCTTTTTTTTCTATAAAAGAAATGAATTCGAAACATTTTTATAATGATTAAAGATATTAAAATAATATTAACTTTTTTTATCCATTAAAAATTGTTATGTAAAGATTTTTCTTTTTAGTTTTAAATAAAAAAAATGAAAGTTACCGCATTCATCAAAATTATAATTGAATAAAATAATTACTATTTTTTTTTTTATCTTTAACCAAAAGAGATAGTCTTATAAGCGTACTTATATTTTACTCTATCATATCATTGGAAACTTTTATCTTTATCATGTTATATATTTAATATAACAAATTAAAAAATAAAAAATAGTTTAGTCAAGGTTAAAACAAAGGAAGAAAATTAAAATGTTATGTTCACTCCTTAATATATAGAAATTATAAGAAAAATGACATATATATAATATAACAAATACTTCCTGCAGGTTAATCATTTTTTGTTCATGTTTTTTAATGACATTATTATGCCATGATATGCATTAAATACTTGTATTTATTGTTTATTCCATAACATAAGGACATATCTTCCCACACGTTTAAAAAAAGTTTTTTTGTAAACGTAAAATTTTTAATGAAACTCTATTTTACAGTTAATATCAAAGCAATGTACACTTAAAAAGATAGATTCGCAGAGCAATCAATTAAGAGACATATTTAATTAATAATATTTTAAATAAATTAAAACCAGAATAAAAAGTAATACATTAAATCTAATAATAAAAATAATAAATTTATAAAGTTATGAATAAGTAACATGATTACTTAATAAATTAATGAATTATAAAATTCACATAAAAAATGGTAATGCATATATTATATTACAGAAAAGCGTATGTCCTAAATATATATAAATTCTATAATAATTTAGGTGAATGGCAATCGAATGGTATATTTTAATGATCACTTCATTATCCTTTGATTAAAGATATAACTATAACTAGAATGTTTTACAATGCCTCATAATAAAGTAATAATACAATAATGTAATTCAAAAATGTGTGTTTTAAATTTTACGGGAACTTTGCGTAGTAATATAAGTAATTTTAAGGTGAATACACATTTTGATGCTTCTTTAGAACAAATAACCTTTGAAAAAATAAAAAAAAAGAATATGAAGAAATAAATTTCATTCGAGATCTGTTACTTCTTTTTTCCTCTCATAATGCACGTTCATGTGTGAAAAGAGATATGTGTAACTAAAAATTACACTAAAAATGCATAAATATTTGTGTGCTAAAAAATGTTCACATGAAATATAAATAAAACATTTAGTAATTATTCTATATATTGCCTACAACACTTAATTTTTAATATACGTAGCTTAACACTTGATAACAAAATCTTCGTAACCTCACAACAATTTTTATTAATTACTTTTTCATAAATTATTTTAATATCCATATTAAAATAAATTCTACATGTTATTTATGCAAAAAAAATGAATATAGATTTAAATATTAATCGTTTCTTTAAAATCCCTCATTCAATGTATGTAATGTTTAATGTATTTTAAAACATCTAAATTACAAATTAATCTGTTCTTCTCAAATAATTTAAAGCTTTACACATCAGATTCATATTGTTTTTCAACATGATAATTTTATATATCACTCTTCAGTTACAATGGAATAAATGATAGGTAAGCTCTGTGTTAATAAAAATCAATTTTTTTCTGATTTATGTATCCTTATTTTTCATATAAATAAAAGAAACTATGAAAGGATTAAACACCCAGCTAATATGTCTATTGCTATTTTGTAGTTTGGGGGAAAATACTTCGTTCATTCATAACTACATACACATTTATAATAAGGTAGAGTAAGATTCTTTCAGTGAAATATAATAAACCCCAGACTAATAGTAAAAAATATATATTTTTTATTTTATAATCACTCTCTTTTAAAACATAAGAATATATTAATTAATAAAACTTGATAAACTTGATTATTTATAAAGGTTAAACATATTAAAAGTAGACTAAACAATAAATTTAATAATCAATCAAAATATAAAAGAGGAGTCTAAACTTTTAACGAAAATATCATGTGAATAAGAAAATAATTCCTCAGAAAATTCTTAAAAAAACTTTTATGTATAGTTTATTTTATTTCATTATATGTTGCTAATATATTTTAAAGGGTACATTTTATTATTTATAATGTATTTCAGATGTAGAAATTCACTACCTATTTCTGAGTAAATACTATTCCTTATGTTTATACAAAACATTTTGTAGTGATTTAAAACATGATCATAAAGTCATATAAAGGGAACAAATAATTAAACATGTATGTATTTTTTTTTTATAGGTGTTAATTTGTGGAATGTCATTTTTCAATTAACTCCAATTACTGTTTTTCTCTCTCTCTTTTTTTTAACCAAAAAGGATTAAAATTCTCTTCATGATTCATGGTGCAAAAAAAATTTCATTAATTTAATGTGACATTTTACACGAAATTATATATGTAATTTATTTATATATAATTTTTTTTTGTGGCAAATTTTTTTTATTGATCGTCAATTTTGAAGTATTAATGTATATTAAGCGCTATTTTAATCTACATATATTAAGTTATATATATAAAAAGGAATATTTCAAAATGTATAATAACTAAGAACAATTTAAAGGATTTTAGAAGAATTTTAAGCGTACAGCGACATTTGTTTTTAAAACGTCATTTCTGTAATATTCGTTATGAAATACCAATTGGAATATTACTCTGATACACGATTTACAAAGTGGCTATCACTTAATTATTAATAGGCGCTGTGCTTTGTTTATCCTGGTTACAGCATGGGGTATTATGTAATGTGATTTCCTTCAACCAACATGGTACATCAAGTTACATCTAATTATATATAATAGAAAGTCACCAATATATATTAGCCCAACTAATTTTTTTGTAATTCAAATAAGTTATATACTTATAAGAAGTCTTTATTGTATAACTGATGCAAATCCATATAAATTTAGCATCTCTAATATTATATTAATATTAATTATAAAATTAAAATCATAATAGGAGGACAAAAATAGAAAATCATAAAAAATAATCCAAAAAATGCAATAGAAGGACGTATGAATCAGTATGTATTAAGAGTACTATATTATGTGCACATAATAGTAATAATTGCATAGAAAGTGCAATAAAATTGAAAACGTATAATAAATGCTCCCAACACAAATTGTTATCTAAGCTATTTAATTTCCCCCTAACTTTTTTATATAACACTAATATGCAAAAATGTATTAAATTCATAGGAATATATCAGATATTTATAATACAATTTACTATTTTAATGGGAGAAGAACAAGAAGGTATGGCCACAAAAACAGGACAGACCGAAAAGGCATCTGGAGAAGCTATAGCTGCTAAAGTATCTAATCTTTTGACTAAAGTTAATGAAAAATTATGTCCATTTTGCGAATTTATTTTAAGAAGTTATAGTAATTATTGTAGCACATATAAACTAGGAATTGTAATTCCACTTATTATCCTTATTGTCCTAATTTTATTTTTTCAGTACATATGTATCAATGTAAATAACAATTCTATTTAAAAGAAATGTATGTATAAATAAAAAAAAATTTAAATAACTTTTTTATGAACTCATGGTTGTAAAATAAATATAACGTTATATATCTGCTATGTTCTCCATTTTTATATTAGTTCTGCAGATCTTCGAATTCACGTAAAAAAAAAAAAAAAGAAGGTTTACGTATGAATTCTTATGATCCACGTTATGAGCGATCACACGGACAGATGTACCAAGGACAGGTGTATGGTCAATACATGCAACAACCACATATGTTTCCAGGGGAGGGGATTTGTCCAAATAAGCATCGACAACAGTTCTTGTATGAACAGGTTGAAGGACCCAGAAAAAAAAAACGTAAAATGAAGCAATCTAAAGATAATGGACCTAACATGAAAGAAAATAATGATGAAAATAAAACAAGGTCTAAAAAAAAAAAGAAAAAAAAAAAAAAAAAAACAGATGGTCAATCTAAACGTAAAAATTCAAACCAAAATGCACATTATGTAGGATATAATCCAGGGTAACAGAAGCTAAAAATAGAAAATATCTTTGTAATATCAATCACATGTCGCATTATTATATAATGTGCATTGATAGTTTTATTTAATTCATTTTTTTTGTTTTTCGTGCTTATTTAATAAATTTTTTATTTATAAAAATAGTAAGAACAATAAAATAATTCGAATTAATATTATTTCTCTTCTTTTTAATATTAATACGCATCTCCGTTGCAATATGAGTTTCATTAAATTAATGCCTTTTTATATTATTAAATTGAATATATTGTGCTTTATCTTTTATAAAAATTATTTTAAAATTAACCTTGCTTTTATATTTTCTTATTGGTGTTTAAAAAAAATAAAAGAAAACATACACATTTTTATTCATAATGTTTATAAATATAGACGCTATATAATTGTTATATATTAAATTTGTAATTAACTTTTTCGAAAAAAAAATATATAATTAAAAATTTATATATGTGAATATAATAAATAAAATTTCATTAAAAAATGTTATCTATTTAAAAACTAAATATATACATATGGATTACTTTAATATGTTAAATTAAAAAAAGGTCCTAAAATTTTGTGAAATCTCATTACCATCATAAATTATATTTAAACTCATTAACAATAAATTACATGATAGTTATTACTAACAGTACACACATCCATAATAAAATGTATGTTAACTTAAATTATCATTGATATTTTTTTCATTTACTCTTATACTACAAATATAATATAAAACTACTATTTCATGAAATTAATATGTTTCTCAAAAATATCTTAAAAAATGATATATTCCATTTAGTTATGTTCTACAACAATAGAATAATCCATGTAGTGGTTCTTTAATTAATATGGAATAAATAACATTTAAACTTTAAATGGTTATTGTTTACTTATTTATTTGTTAATCTATAAAATATTATATATTATACACATAATAAAGGACAACAAAGTCTTTATGGTGCAGCATATGGTTGTTTCAACATTATCTAGAAAAAAATGTTTATGTTTTATGTTCATATTCCAATATAGACAGCGCTAGACATTTTTAGGGTGATTCAAAATTACCAAAATTATTCATAACATTCTTCCCTATTTATATGGCACTTATGTCATTCATTGTTAAATTTTTAAAAAGGTTAATGAGTAAATTCTCAGTTAAATATGTAGTAACTCGATTCACAATTATAGAAAATTTTTATTAAGACTGTTATTTATTTGCAAAAATATCTATTTTGTTATACAAGGAATGTCTTATTTATAATAACAAAAATATTACGATGAAATGAACATTCATTTCATTCTTGTTAAAAAATTTTTATTCATCATAATTATAGCATATTTCGAAATAATTTTTATTGTAATTGTTATTATTGTGAATTTGTTAAAGGATAGATGGATTAGGATTAAAATTAACTTATCATGTTGTAAACTCATTTTTGTGCAACAATATGAAATGTATAGGACAATTTTTTTTCTCTACGTTATATAATAAAAGTACACTATTTAAAACACTTACACAAATATTAAGCAAAATGTTATTCTATTTCTAACAATAATACTAAAGAATGTAAATTAAACGAAAATCATATATGATTCACATGTATCTGAACTGTTCTCATAAATATGACCTAGTATAGGAATTTCCAATTATTACATATAATACTCATCATCGATTGTTACACACCGTAATATTAAAATAAAATTATCAAATGATGACAAGTGAGACAAATCTTTTAAATGGGTAATACGTTAAAAATACAAATGAATTCTATAGGCGATAAATAAAGGGATTATAGTATTATACACAAAGATAATCTATACATAAAAATGATTAATGAACGAAAAAATGAAATAAAAATATTCATTGGAAAATGTTATACCATCATATATTAGGAGTCAATAGAAACACCACTAAGGTGATGGAACTTTCTGTTTCACCATATAATCTACATTTACAATGAGAATAATATTTTAAAATACGAGCACATACTAAATCTGAAAATTTTGTATGTAAAACTTACATTACGTAAAATGGATAATGAATAATGAATATCTAAATAGAAAATTTTTTTGATTCGTAATTATGTTATGTTTTTAATATTTTATTTTTATATGCTTTAAACTTATGTAATATAACCTAATAAACAATAATTAAATTAAATTCTTCCTCAAAACCACATATGGAAACATTGTAATATTATGGATAACTAAATTATTATTGCGTAAATTAGTTAAATCCATATTCTATTTATAAATATAATAATTTAAAATTATTTTTATAAGTTGAACTAAAAAAAGTGTATCATAAAAATAAAACAAAAACCAAAAAAGCTGAAAAAGTTTTAATTATAGACAATAATTTACATTATGCTGCTTTCACAAAATGTAAGTTGAAAATAAATACCTCCAAATTTAAATAGTAATATTAGAAAAAATTGTATTGTGTATCCTTTAAAATATAGTGCACTTTTCTAACACATTTCTATATATATTTTTCTTAGTATCCACATTTAGTTTATTCATAATATACTTACAAAAATAATGTATGTTTTATATCTTAATTTTTCCATTTTATAAAATTTATCACAAGGTTAAAACAAATAATATAAAGACAATTTGAACATTTCTATAAAAGAAGTCTTAATGATATATACCAATTCTCTAACACCAATATATACCCACTTAATTAATAGACTTTTGCACAGTTATATAAATATAATATGTTATGTTTGTCCTCTTAATAATTAATTTTTATATATTATACATGTCAATATTTTTAATTTATTTAAATATTAATGCAGGTTCATTGAGTATTATTTATTTCACCATGAACAATTTTATTCGTTGTTTAAAAACACTATACATCTTCAATATACTTGTCATTAATTTTTTATACTCACTATATTATTATTTCCTTTTATCCCTTTATATTTATTTTTTTTTAACAAAAATCATTATACTAACAATAGAGTACATCGTTTTTACATAAGGGTATTAAATATATACATGTTTTATTTACAATTGCTACTACTGCCTTTTAGAGGATGATAAGTCACTTTCAATTTTCTAATCGTATAATCTAAAAGCATAGAATCTGAATCATTCGTATATAATCCTTCATCGAACTAATTATAATAATTATTGTGAACCTTTTTTTACGCAAATATGATCCTAATTAAGTACAAATACAAAACTATAATTACAAAAGATAGGGATTTATATTTACTTTTTAATTACACATTTACAATAGATAAAAAGTAATTATTTTAACATATTAATCCTATGTATTAAAAATTAATATGAATTACCCTGTGATAATAAAATAGGAAGAGTGTTGATCCAAGTATTAAAGCAGTTATGAAAGTGTCATGAATTATATTTATATCCAACCCATCATATATTGTTTCTGTAGCGCTCACGATACCAATAATGGACATAGATTGTTTACTGCTTTTAATATCTGGTATAAAAGGTATTACTTCATTTTCCTTATGTCCAATTTTTTCTCTAAGACAGGACTCAACTGTAATTCATATTAAATTATGCTTTTCTATTCGTTTAATTCATTTATTTTTGTTTCCAATGATTCAAGATATTTTTTTAATTCAGTTAATAATTTTTATGGGTTATATTCATCTCCAGATTTAATTATCGAACTACAATTAAAAAAGTACATTTCGTCTTCGTTGCAACATTTATGAATTTTCTCCCTATAAATGATATAAATATAAGTAACGTAATTTACATATGTTTGACATTTAACTTAATAGAATTGTTGCATTTAACCTTTTCAAAATTTGCAAAATAATCATGAAAATTTCTTTCTTTTTTCCATTCATTTGGATCATCGTAATAATTGACTGTACATGCTTGATCTGTGTTATGTTCTAGACTAGCTAATGACACAAAATCAAAAAGTTTCCAAGCAACAGGATTTTTCTTATGTGCACTTGTACCCCATAGTTTTTTTTTTTATCTGGACATAGAACTATTATTAAAAGTAATAATAATCATGTTTTTTTTTTATCTTTATCATTATCATATTTTAATGATTTAAAATTTTTTGCTACCTTATATCAAAGTTTTTTATCCTTTTCATGACTTTCTCCAAGCACACTTATACAGGAATTGTTACCATCACTAATGTCTGCACTATCTAATTCATCATATTTTTCGTATGGAGGAAAATCCGATAGAAACGTGTTCTGTCATTTAAATAGAATATATAAACTTTATTGTGCAAATATATATGTTCATTAGAGAAACGGGTTTCAATTATTCTTTAAATTATATAAAATATACAAATATTAAGTTGTATTATATAATAAAAATATAAATATACCCAATTATTCGTAGCTTAAAGTGTCATAATGCACTTTTTAATATATTGTAATAATGATGCACATAATTACATATATATATGTGTATAAAAAATTAGAAGACTTAGTATATTTCTATAATTTACATTGTGATATACTAATTTTAAAAAATATAAAAAAATTCTCTTGTAATAACTACATGCAATTTTGCTATGAATCAAACGATTATAACAATATTTTACTGATATTATACAAAATGAACCCCTTTAATATTATGTAAATAATCAAGCAATGTTAAGAATATAACAACCCAACTAAGGCGCATTATTGTAGAACAAATTATTATCTTATAAAAATTCATTTTATGCAAACGCATTATAATTCTATTACTAATGTATATAAGAAAAAAAAAAAAAATTAAACTATAACTACTTTTTACCATACTTTTTATGTCCACGTATTTAAATAATCGTTGTTTTTGTACACTTTATAAGTATTGTCTGCAAAAAGAATATTTCTTTTCCAAAAAATAACTACTATGTTGTATGTCACTTATCTGATAATACCAAGATTTATTTAGATTTGACTGAAAAAAAATGACGTTTTAATTGTTTCATCAGATATTATATTTCCACAATTTTATATAGCACATATTTTAGTTTTCACTTCTTTAAAAATATTACAAATTATAATCTTTACCTTTTTATCTGATTCTTTAGAAAAAGGATTTTTGTTAGAAAATTTACATCATAAAGCTTTCTGTTAATAAATTTATAATTATAATGCGATAAAATACTGCTCAGTTATTCTAAAATTTTTGCTTTTAAAAGAAAAAAAAGTAAAAATTGAAACATTTATTATTCCTATTTTTTTAATTATATGTCTCTTAAAAAATTTAAACAAGCTTATTAATTGAACATTTTGAACATTTGTTATGTGTTTTCCAATCCGCAAGATCTTTATATAGACACGATAGTATTCGTGTAATTTAGAAATATTTCTAATTATTTATTACTTCTTATTGTAATTGTTAAAACTTTAAAAATATAATTATATTATTTTCACTTATGACTTAACCTTATTTAAAAAATGTATAATATAATCTTTAATATTTCTTCTAATAATTACTATTTATGTTGCTTACATTTCTAACGTCATTGTTGTTACAATTATAAAAATGTGCCTAAATAGGATTATTACAATATTCCCCAAAATATGTTGACATAAATAGAAGAAAACATAACAAAAAAATTATTACTGGGTATTTCATTGTTTCACTACATATACGAAAAAACCAAGAACATTTAATTTTCCTATAATACAAAAATATCTTGCATACTGCTTATAAACAGCGCATCTTAATGCAAAATAGTTTCTATGTGTGTAATGCCACTTTGTTATATTACAAAATTTATTCGTGCTTATTATTGAATTAAATAATAGAATTAAATAATGATAACTAAATTAGAATTCTCAGGATGAAGGAACAATGAAAGAATTTACATCCGTACGAAAAATAATTCAAAACTAGTCTTAATAATGAATGTGAACATAGCATATATATATGATGTAAATATGGATAATGAAGAATATATTTTTGCGTAAACATAGAAGCAATGAACGTTTGTGTAGTTCATTATAAGAAAGAAACACAAATATGTGATGACTTTACAAAGTATACTTCATATTACCTATAAATAACACACCTGTACAATACTTTTTTAGTGTTAATTCTGTGTTTTTTCTTAATTATATTATTTTGAATAATTAAATTTGAAAATAATATTACCCTATGTGAGTATTTAAAATGTGACCATTAAAGTAAAAGTATAACGTGTTTAAAAGTTCTATCAACAAATTTAATTATTTTTACAATTTTACACATAGATAATCATGCCTTTTCAAATATTACTATTTTAAGTGATGCATAAATTCTTTTTAAAATACCTTATTGACATGTACAAATATTCTAATTTATATTATTTAACCATATTGTTCTATATTCTCGATGTCAACAAGGAAGACACTTTAATATGATTTTACGAAATAGTAAATTACTGTAATTAATGTTTACCTACCTACATAAATAACTTTTTAAATTTGTTTGTTCAAATGAAAAAAATTAAAACTAAATGAAAATTAATGCATACAAAATGGGAACTATAACTGTTTCGACTTATGAAAATAACGGTGCTTTGGACATTAATACATGTTTGGAAAAATATACAGAAATTCTTGCATATATTAAAGAGAACTTTACAAAATCACACGAAAATTTAGGCGAATGCAGAAAATTGAATAAATATATAATCGATAAAAGTAATGAATTAAATGGATGTAATATAGGAGGGGGGTTAATACTTGATTTACATGATGATAGTCAAATAAAGAACATTAAACTAAAATGTGAAAAATTTTCTGAAGATACTAGTAATCCTGCTTTTCATGAACAACAGGATACTAAGTTAAAACGTGAAGAAGGCCTATCTGAAGAAAGCAAAGAAATTGAATCAGAAAGAAAACATGCAGAAGAAGTTGTATCACAACAAAAATGTGGTAAAGCCCTCCCTGTACATAATATATTAGAACAACAACGTACCGGAGAAGATGGAAAAATCCAAATTGAATCATATGGATCAACGAAAGGACAAGTATTGCCTCAGGAGCAGCCTGATGTAATTTTGCATGCGAGGGAAATTGGTACTCCTGAAGAAAAATCACGAACAAAATTGAGTGAACATTCTGGTAAATCTGGACATGAAGTAAAAGAGCCACAACCTTTATCTGTCTCATATTACCAAGGAACTTCTGAAGTAGATTTTTGTCAATATAATACTTCTTCGCACTGTAACCTTGAAGGGAAATCAGGTGATGTTGGGGTTCCACAAGCAAACGCTGTAAAAAAAGGTTTTCTTCAAAGTAATCCACATAGCGATAACACTGCAGTTTTTAGCACCGTTCCCATGGAAAACCTTCGTGATAAACATGATGACATACAAAATGCTTATCGTCAAGATATTATTACAAAATCATGTAATGACCTAACGCTTTCTGGAAGCACTCGCCCTGCAGATCACGGTGATGATGGTCCTTCACAAAAAGATACCGATGAAACAAATGTCAATCAAATAGGCATCTGTCTCGGGAACAGTTGTACATTAATTAATGATACTTTGTGTCCTGACATTGCGAACCTTGATAGTGTAACCACTAATGGTGTCCCTTCTGATGCTCAATGTACTAATTATTGCAAGCCTCGAAGTGAAGACACGGATTATCGAAATTCTAGTAATGGACTTATTAGTATCATAAGCAATTCTTCTAAATGTGATGCTTCCGAAAGTTCTGATAGTATAACTCCCCTTATCGATGATCACGGTAAGATACAAAATATCTCTATGAATCATAATTATTATTTCCCATTTGAGAAGGCAATTCATCATACAACTAAAAATACATAATATTTTTATTTCTCTAAAATGCTAGGACAACTAGTTTAGTGATTCCCTAAAATTGAAGCAGATATTCTAGAATTTTCTAATATAATTACGCCTAATAATTAATGTCTTTTTGCAGGTGATCAAGAAGCTAGTACCTCTGATATTAATAAGCCTCTTCAACAAGAAAAACATCCAGTAAATAACAGTTATATGGGCGTAATAAACAAATCTACAGTAGCCAGTGATGAATCTCATTCTAATCAGGTAGATAATATAGGTCAGCAAAAACATATACTTTGCGCGAATTTACATAATATTTCATAGTAACGTGTGCATAACTTGGCACCATCTAAATTATGCTGCCATATTGAACATATTGTATATTTAAAAGAATTAATTTCGCACCAAAGAATTATAACACATAAAAGTTATTCATATGAACATCAAAAATTATTTACTTTTGGCATGTCATAAAATACACTTCGGACAACATTTAATGGAATTGCAGCTACAGCGAATTCGGATACTACTGGAGTAGTTATTATTGAACCAAATGAATCTAACGGAGAAAATAAAGTAGTTTCATATAAAAAGTATATCCTAATGATTTTAGTGCCACTCGCAATTATCTTGTTATTGGCATTTCTTATAAAAGTAAGCTAAGACATTTCGTGTTATACCCAATACAAATATCTTTTAAGTGTTTAGGTTTATTAAATCAGATTATAATAAACACTTTTCTCTATACAGTACACCCCACTACGAATGATTTTTATAAAGAAAAACAGGACTAATCGAAAACCGATGAATCAAAAATTACAAAAGGTACTATTAAAACCCTCGGCTGAAAAAGAAAGACAGTTTCAATTTTCATATAGCTATTTTGAATATTAAGTATAATGATAAATATAATCTTTTTAAAAATAATTAACAGATGTACATTAAGTATTTGTTATATGTAAATTATTAATTTTATTTTAATAATATGTATTTAACTCTTTTTTCGTATTATTTAATGTAAATATATAAATATTATCATTAATAAATTTTTATTTATAAAAAGTATTATTTCTTACATCTCAGGCAATATAATTACAATCACACAAAAATAACGTAGATACTCATTTTATTAATTTTTTTTTGTAAATTTATCTATGTTCTGATATCTTTTTAGAAATTTATGTGATAAAATATTTTTTTTTTAGTAAATATATATATATTTCCACTTAAACGAAATTTTGATAACCATTTCTTCTAGTTACAATTATTTTTGTTAATATAAACCTAAAATGTAGCAAAAATATATTTATTTTTTGTAATATATTTAAAGTCTATTTTTTGTTCTATTAACTTAAACTAAATAAATATTCTTTAACGTGTCCTTATATTTTAGTTTATTTCACACAATCAGTTATATTATATGACTTTATTATTTTTCTATACAATGGAAAAACAAGTTATAGCCGATTATTTATTGGGTAAGAATGAAAATTACACTTGTAATATGAACAATATATCGTATACATACATCCAAATATTAAAATAATTAAAAATTATGCGTACTTTTTTCAAAACTGCTAAAATTAAACAACGAGAGGTAGATATTAATAAATCTATTAAGAAATTGTGTGCTGAATGTAAAAACATGTATTTATATAATATAGTAATAAATAATCAAAAATGTGGAATTATAAATTCTGTAACAATAAATTGAAATATAATTTTAAGGAATATTATATGTAGTATGTATTAAAGCGTAAAAAATATTAATGTCACAGTAAATATTTAATAATATGTAATGCGAATTATTTAAAAATTTAAATGATACTATGAAAACAGAAAAATATACAACCCATATTCATATTATTTTTTCTTCATCATATTTATTTTACAGTAACTCCATATCACAATAAACGAACTATATTATGAGCACTGTTATAGAATTCATCGTGATCCTCATGATTTAATTTATTCTTTCATAGATTAACTTTCTAAAACCATAAAAAATAATATATATATTAATTCTTTATACCTATTACAATTTAAAATAATTCAAGTGGATATATTATTTAGAAATATACAATATTATTAGTAGTTCTTAAATAGTTTTCCAGAAAAGTATCTATTTATATATTTTCTAATATTTATGTATTAATTAAAAAAATATTCATTTACACTAAAATATGATAGCAGTATTGAATAAAAGAAGAAATAAAATGCATTGTGTTATGAAATTCATGTAATACTCATACTTTTAGTATTACAAAGTGGATATGTGTATTCAGACATAAATGCTATTCTCTTAAGATTTTATAAACTAATAATATATATTAGAAAATGATGTATTTAAAGATTCCTCTTCATTTTTTAAATTTCAAAATAATATTATTATCTTTATAAATAACGTAGTTAAAATTTTATGTATGTATTATCCTTAATAAATTCATCAATTTACAAGATCTCAATGAAAAAGCAATATATGAAAATGAGATATTAAATGCTACAATAAATTTATTTATAATATTATATTCATTTATTAACACTTCTATAATTCTTACAGCTGTATTATATTTTTAGGTGTTATATATATATATATATTACAATTGGAATAATGATGAATATATAAAGTTATAAAAAATATTACTTTCTTCATTTATTGTGTATAAAAAATCTTTCACTACTATGTCATGGCATTAATCATATTAACTTATTGAATACACATTCGATATATCATGTTCAAATTCATTGACGTGTTTATCCTCAGAATTCTGGTTATTCAATTGATTTCCACAAATTATATATATATAAACTATTTTTCATGATATATATAATTATTATTATAATTTTTGAAAATACAAATCAGCGAAAAACACTATTTATGGATAAATAGTGTAAAAGAGATAAAATATAAATACCATAAAAAAATGTACTTATCTGCGTATGTTAATCATATTATTAGGAAAGTATATAATTGAGTACAATTTTAAAATAAAAAGAAATATTTTTTTATAAGGGTTAACCAAAATAATAAAGAGAAAATTTAAGTAATATTTAATATATAAAGTATTAATGGAGAAATTATTGTAATTCATAAGCAACAAAAAAAAAATTTTATATGTTTAAGAAATGATTTGGTACTATTGGCTAAGATGTGTATAAAAAAAAAAAAAAAAAACTAACAATACTTATTAAATTACAATATGTATTAAATTTTAGATAAAACATAAAAAGATTTATCAATATTCTGAAGAATATATTCTTTTGGAAAAAATAAATAAAAGAGGAATTAAAATTTTTTTTTATACTTTTCCTGATTTTCTCAATTTATAGTAACATAAAGGGTCAATTAAGAAATATATATTTGTTAATAGTAAAAGATCGTTATGTATAATATTATGATTTTTATAAGTAAGAAAAATTAATTACCTGATAAAAACAATAAATTATGAATGTTCAACAGGAATTAAGCATAATTTATACACTTAATATAATTATATATTATTATGTGTTCTACCATTATTAAGAAAAAAAAATATTCTATATATATTATTTTCCCATTTTAATAGAGGTAATATTACTTATTCACTAGATAAATTATTAATGAAATAATTATGAACCAAGTATAATTCAATATATCATAACATTATGTTTTGGAAAGAACATTTAATAATTGATGTATAATATCACATATTATTATTTTTATTATAAGTTATTTTATACACCATTTCTACATATGTATTTATACACGAGACATAATATTTAATAAGTTTAATTAATATCATAACCTTAATAATTATTTATATATTTTCTATTTCATCATTTATAGAAATAACTAAGAGTTATTATTAATAAAATTTATACATTATGTTTAAAAAGGGTATCTATATGAAACAAGATATATCTATATATCCTTTTATAAAATTCATGAAATACTTAATAAATAATGTTTATGCAGAAAAAAGCATATTTATTTAAAAATAGGTTTTATCATAATATAACATAACAATTATATGTTAGACTCCTTATATAATCATGTACTCTCTAAGATTATTGTACAGAAAAAACACATAGGTTATTAATATTACATATTATACAAAAGGTATGTTATGAAACTATCTGTAATTTAATGCACAATTAAATGAGAACATATATCAATAAATCGATATCCTTCAAAATAAAAAATATTTATACACATATCACATTTTAAATGATGTTATAAGATAGGTATTTAAACAATAGAATTTAGCAAATTAAAATATAGACCCATGCTTTCACAATAAAAAATAATACGTTAACTTTGTAAAATGATATTTTAATTTACAATATTATTAAACATTCTATTTTAATACTTTTTTTTTTTTGACCATAGACATTTATTCTATTTTTCAGAGCTTTAATTAATTATTTCGAAACATATATACTATGAACATAAATAGATGATAAAAATATTCATTTAAATTAGATTTTTGCTAAATTAAATATGTATTATATCTCATAAAACCTTTTTCTTCTTATATATTTTATATTTATTTAAAAGGATAATTATTTATTTTGTTTAATATATAACACCCTATATATGCCTTCTTCTACAGAAAGTGATAGAATAGTACTTAATTATCATTATACATTATAGTTATAATTATTTTGGTATTAAATTTTTATTTTTTCCATAATTATATATATCATTCAAGAATAATTGAATATACTTGCTAATATTATTTATTGTTTTTATTTCTTTATAGTACATATATATTGATTTATTTGATGAAAAGAAGAAAAGTTATGAAAACTATACAGAGAGCCCTAATAGAGACTCTATAAATGATTATTGTAAAATAGATGAACTGCTGTGTATTGGAATAAATAATTTTTCTGAAAATTGTCCAAAAATTGTTAATTGTTTATATGATCAAAGAGAAATTTAAGAAAGTATTAAAGATGAAGATTATATATACTTGCATTATTGGTTATATGATAAATATTATAAAGAAGAAAGAGATTATGGCCATATAAAAATTCTCTATGAAGGATATTTGCAAGCACATGCAAATATTACCTTGTCTATATGTAATTATTATAAAAGTAACGTAACAAACGTTGTATTAGAAAAACTGAAAGATATATATATTATGTACACCGAATTTAATAATATAAAAAATAACGAAGTGTATTCCAACGAAGATAAATGTCAGTGTGCCAATAAGTGCTTAGTTATATATAATAAACACAAGGGTGCATGTAAATCTAATAATGACAAAGTCTTTTGTACCGCATTAATAAAAAGTATAGAAGAATATAATACACAAATGAAAAATGTAATAGGTAATGATAATACACCAAAATGGTTATCTTTATTCCCAAAAAATAGTACATAATTTCATATAATTATTCCAATTGTTCGAGCATTAGTCATACCCCTTTTTATATTTATTTCGTATAAGGTTATTTATAATATAATATCTATATATATATTTATACTATAAAACAATTAATCTGAATAATTTTAATAAATAATTTTTTATCTTATTAAATAATATTTTTAACGCATAAACAACTTTTACTACGAACTAGTTTACCATTTTTGGATCATGCTTGCGAAACGTAATAATACGAAAAAGAAAATTGTTGAATAATATACATAAAGAATAAAATATGCCAGAATCATCTGGAATGTCAAGTAATAGTTCAAGAAATAGGAAGTATACTCTGTTATATAGTACTGTCTAGTTTTATGAATAATTGTATAGTTCAAAGGAAATGTTGCTCTTAAAAAACACATATAATATTGTGAGAAAGTAATGTCGAGGATATTTTTATTAATAACGCCTTATAAAAATGAAATAATTCTTATAAAATAATCCAAATATATATTAATTATACGACTTAATATAATAATATACAAAATTTATTTGACAAATATATTAATAATAAATAAAAATACTGTGAACAAAATTCTACGTTTTTATGTTCAATATAGTGTAGCCATCATGGGCAGTGTATTTTTAAGACATGGAAACACATATTTTATATAAATTAATAATGTAATACATATGCTAACTAAATAATGTATATTGTAAGGTAACAATTTAAATTGATAGTTTTATTGAAATTGTAATTTTTTTACATAAGCATCATTGTATTTTATAAAATAATATTAATGTTAACTATACTCCTAAATATTAAACACACATGATGCATTATTTTTACTATTATTTCTTTTTTTTTCTAGTACTATTATATTTCTTGACACAAGCACATTATGTGATCATATGTTAATATATTAACATATGTAATTTAATTTCATAAATGTTTTATTAGTATCTATATTGACATAAATTATTACTTATAATTTTTATGTTAAATCTTTTTTCATTCATTAATATGAGATATTTTACTACATGTTTTCCTTTCTTACAATTTGTTTTTTTTATATTTTTATGCTAAGTGTTATGCATGCATATATGTATAAAATATTTTTTTTGTTTTGAAATAATGTATAATTTATACTTTTTTTTCTTTACACATTTTCATATATTCGCATTAAAATATAAACATATGATATATATAAATATATTTAAGATGATTTCAGCTAAAAATTAGCATATTAATAATAATTACATCGTTCCTTTTTGAATTGTAAACTAATTACCATTTTGTAATGACATTGAAGCTACTTTCAAATTTTATTTTTGTGGAAATATATCAGTAAATATTAACGTGATTTAAATGAAACAGATATAAACATAATCATTTTTTAAGTCTAATTATTGCATGCAAGAAAATATTTTTTCTATGTTATATATTCCATTCTTTTATATATTCAAAATTATATAAGTTAACTGTTTTTAGTATTTATATATAATAATGGTTTTATTCAAATTTCCTTTTTATACATGATTAATTAATGCTTATTTCCACATACTAATATATGAATAATAATATATTATTATAAAACTAACACAATTTTTTTATTATAATTAATTTCTCACATAATATAATACATATATTTTCTAAATTCACATTTTACGTAGACTATAATTAGTATAAATTATAAAAAATGTATATTCCTTATAATAAATTTACTAGTGTTTAATGTATTACAACAATATTATATGAAAAATATTCTGTCTAAATAGTAACGAAATTTAATCATTTTTTAAGGATATCATGTGTAAGCAAAATAAAAATTAACATGTGTGTGTTTAGTGTTCTATGATAATATATTTTATGTATGATATATATATTATTTATAATGTTATAATAAGTTTTAAAAAAAAAATTAAAACCGAATTAAATATATTGTTGCTAAAAATAGTTTAACTCCTTCAGTATTAATTATTAGCTGCTATAATTCCTAATTTTTCCTATATTTTAAAAGAAAATAAAAATAATGTTTATAATATAATAATTAAGAATGATTAAAAAAATATATATACTTAAATTCAATGCGTAAATTCATTTCATTCCACTAATTGTAAGATATTCTTAAGTCTTCCATCTACAAATAAATTAAAAGTGTAAAAAATGTACATCTTTTTTGTATATAACCCAATAGTTGTACTATTGGTTCATAATATATTTTTACGGCTAATTAATTTGATTTATCTTTGTATAAATATACTTTATATTTATATATAATTTTCCACTAATAATACTTAAATAATTGTAAACGAAAATATGATCTTTGCACCATTATGTATTATAAGATAAGATACCATATTAAAATAATATTGATTTTCCATAGAATGGACATATACATTAATTGAAATTTTAATCAACGGGTGAATTCTAACGACTATTTACGTTATAATTATATACGTATTGAACAAATATAAATAAAATTTAACTGCGTTTTGTTGTTCAATTACTTAATCATATAATTATAATATAATATATTTTATTAATATATCTTATGAATTCATTCCTTAAGGCATAATAGAGATTTATATAACTTGATAATTGAGTACAATATCATAATTAATAAACTAATATTTCTGAGTTCTTATCTACTTTTTTATTACTATAATATATAATTTAAATTGATAATACTAATGTTTTATATTAATTTATTTTTTCCTATTAAAAACAATTCGTAATATTTCATTGTTTTATATTTGCTTATATATTTAAATTTTGCATAAGTGTTTTTCTACCATAAAAAAAAAAGAAAAAAAGCTATGCTGCTTACGCTATAAATTAACGTATTATGTGCTTTCCATATTTGAGTTAGTAAATATAGGTAACATTTATATGGTTTTACTATTTATAAGACAAGTAATTTTTATATTAATGACATCATCGTTCAAATTCAAAAAGTTTCATTGTTATTGTTCTATTAATTTTTTTATATTATACATTATTTATATATTTTAACATATATACAGATTATATTCATTATAAAATTATCAACAATATGCTATAATGTAGTTTAAATGAAGATATTGCTATGTTTGCTTTCAAAAATAGTAGTAAAACTATTATGTTTTTGAAAGATGAAAAATAATTAGTATTTCTGTGTTCAGCCATTACAATGATAAGCATTGTTGTTATAGACAAGGACTATTGTAAAAAAGACACGATAACACAATTTACATATTAAAAAAGCTTTTTAAAAAATACATACTCTTCATTATAAAATATTTTTAAAAAATTATATTTCATATATGTATATTATTTAATATATTACTTTATTATATTATTTTATATATATCAATGAAAACATGCCAGTGACATCTAATCTTTTTTGTAATTAAGTATTCTGCTCTCAATATTGCTCATTCTAAAAGGATTAATGTATAATAACAGATATGTGCATAATTTACATTTTGATTTGTAATCACAATAAATCATATATAAAACATATCCTGTAGTCCATGATTTCCTACTGATAATTTCAAAACTTCATATATAATTTAATTAATATGAAAAAAAAAAAAAAAACAAGTGCATTTAAACTTAATGAATTTATAAAAAATGTATATTTTAGAGCTTTATTCAAATCACATTTTATAGATTTATATTTGAATACTCTTTTTCTTCATGAAAAATGTATTATATTTCTACTTTAAGATAAAAAATTTACAAACTAATTATACATTTTATATTTATTTATAGGATCCAAATGTTCAAGACTCCAATTTATACAATTTCTACAAATTCTTGGGCAACTAATTAAATAAAGATCATACTATTTCAATATGTGGTAACGGGAATTATTCAAATTCAAAAAAATCTTGTAATGTCCTTTATAATATATTTAAATAATGAATTAAATCTTGTCTATCCTACTGACAAAGCCAAAAAAAGTACTGTGATTACATCAATTATTGGCTATATTCAAAGATAGTAGAAAACAATCTTAACATTTTTGGCTTTCTTTGCCTTTACCAAAATTTTCCAGAACTTATAAAAAATATATTTTCAACAAATGAAAATGATACATGTAAAGACAAATTTATAAAGAATAATTCCGTATAAGTATGGAAAAATAAGAAAATATAATATGATTTTTTAGAATATTACATGCCTCTAAAAAATACAAATCAATACAGTATATCAGAATAACGAGGATAATTAATGTAGATGCATTAGTTTCATTTTAAGTTTATACAATAATATAGAGGAAAAACATAAACAAAGGTGAATATAGAGTAGGTAAGAAAATGAACTCAGTCTCATTAGAAATGCCTTTAGTAATAATTATGATCTATTTTTATTAAAATATAATTACAGTCTTTCTGTTTCATTTACGATGTCACTTTAAACTATTGTGACATTGAATTTATTGTGCGAAAACACCCAGAAGAAATAACAAAACGTACTAACACACCTAGTAATATTGAGATACTTAAAAAGATACAGAATGAAGCGGTATATATTTGCTCTTAATAAATAAATTTATACCTCATATTATGTATTTATTCTGTTAGTGCTTGAACGAATAATTACTTCTAAAACTGAAAAATTTATATAATTTTTTATATATTTGTATTTTTCAGGATGCACTCTTGGAAGGTTCATCTACTTATAAAATATATAATGAATCAGACAAAGAGTTTAGTAACTGTACATATAACGTTACCAACTCTTACCCAATAAATTATAAGGATGAAAAAATTAAGAACATTTTCAAACAAATGATAAAGAATTTAAATGAATTTTCATCAAATTTAGAAACCCAAAATTATAATCATATGGACTGTTGTACTTACTTAAATTTTTTGATATATAGTAAATTATATAAATTATATAAATATACTGATACAAATACATACAGATACATTTTAGACATACCTGAGATCAACAAAATTAGTAAAAAAGATATAGAAATTAATAAAGATTTAATTCGGGAAAAATTGAAACAAAGTTTTAATACGAAAATTTTAGAAAAAAAACAAAAAATCGAAATAGCATATGTAATGGATGAAAGTCATGAGAGTGAAAAAAAGACTCAACAATCAAAGTTGTAATAAGATAAAAAGCATACCCTGAATCACAAAAGTTAGTAAAAATATTTCAATATGTGCTATTTCCTAAAATGATATGTATATTAAATATTTATCACGTTTGAATGTTACTGATCCTATTTTTAAAAATAATGTCTTAACAAGTGAACAACCAGCATATTTTCATCCCTTGAAAAAGGGAATTCCATATGTAAGACATTTACGTAGGAAAAAAGACGGTAGTTCAAAATTAAAAAGTAGAGAGTTAGTATTCAATGAGAAATTTGTAAAAGTGTTATTATTATCTGTTCACAGAAAAAAAACAGTAGAATTTCCAGAAAATAATGATAGTCAAGTAAATTCTAGGAAATCTACGACTTAATATCATTACATACTATTTCAAGAATTCATGGGGTCTGCACGTTAATCATACTTGCAAGGAGCAAAAAAAAGCGTGCTCACAAGGGCAATAACTGTCAGAAATGTCTGAATAGTGCAAAATGTTAAAACAGTACACGGAAATGATAAATGGAATAAATTTACCTTCTGAAATGGGTTTAGAGGATTCATATATGAAAAATATGAACTATAAAGAGTATTCTACTGATTCTCCATCTATAAGTAACATATTACAAGTGCTTGCTTTTCGAATTTTTGTATTAGTTCTATTAGTATGATGAGTAATTTTCATATTTTATATTTATTATAAGATCCATTACAGATTAATTCTAATTATGAATATTATATTTTACCATTTTTAAGACATTTTTCATAAATAAATCTAATGAAAAATTAATATAATTTTAAAAAATTTTTTATTATTTGTTTCTTTTTAATAGTTTACTCCATTAGGATCATGGTTAAAATACAGTATGAAATGTAAAAAAAAAAGTTAATTGCAATATTTATAGAGAGAATAGACACAACCCATTATATTACCATGCAGAATACATTCCTAAAAATATGTCAAAAAAGAGAATACATATGGCATGTAATAATACATGAACACTTTTCATTTCACATGAAATATAATGTACAATTATATAGAATAGAAAATATAAAATATCTATTATATCGGCATAATTTATTTGTAATAAAAATTTAATTAGAAATAGTAAACAAAAAGAAAAGGGAAATTACATATAATTAAATTCTGAAGGATTATGCATTTATAACAGATAGATATAAATCAAAATAAAGTAAATGTTATAAATCCAGAAAACGTTAAAAATCAAATATTTTTATTATGCTCTTTAAATTAGAAGTCCGTATTTTCATACAAAATTTCACGTAGATAGTTCAAACAGCAAAATCTGTACACATTGTTCATGTAAAAGGTGAAATGATAAAATTTTGTCAACCATGAACAACGTGATACTAATACTTCAATAGAACATAAAATTTAAATGATACAGCAAAATAACATTAATAAATATGATTATTACAGATACAACATAATTATTTTCACAGTTTGTCCCAGTTACGTAAAATATAATTTTTTCCTATAACATTTTAAGCAGATAATTAGCTTGAGTTTTAGAAAATACATTAGTAGCACACAACTACGATAAATCAATATGGAATAAAAACAAAATGTACATTATTTATTATGTTTAACAATAAAGCGTGCGATGATGTTATAAATGTAAAAATTTTAAGTAATATTATATTTGTACTTTAACATTAAATTGAGACAACTATCAAATATTCTATTAACCACAAATTTTATAATTTATTATACCACAAATAACAAAATACAATTTATTAAATTTCAATCAATTAGTGGTTCTTTCAACTATTAAGTGTGTATATATATATATATATATATATATATATATATATATATATATATATATTTGTTTGTTTTTGTTTTAACCTTGGTATTTTTCTTTCAAATTAGATAAACCATAAAACATATTTAGGTTTAATATACTTTTAAATTTTCATTAAAATTTATTGGATTTTTATTTGTTTTTGCCATTTGTATATTACGTTGTGAACACTGATGTTATTACACATATACTATTTAAAAATTATTGTTATTTATAATTTTTATAATGTTAAGTTATGAATTTGTTTGTTTTCATTGTTTATTAACATACTTTCCTTTTACTATATGTTGAACAAAATATCAACTTTAGAATAATTTTTTATATTCAAATATATTATTTACTATTTCATTAGGATTTTAGTAATATATAAATAAATATAATATATTTATATTAATTTGAAATTAATGAAAACATTTACCTTAAATGATTTATGCTGTATTATAAATACTTTATATGTCAAGTTATTCATTCTTTATAGTTTACTAATGTATACTAACACTTAATAAGTACATGTACAATAAAAAAAATTATATAATGAAAATTACATTTTCGTATGTTATAATTACATAATCAATTTTGTCATAACATAGAAAAACATTATTTCGAATAACATTATTCGTAATTTTATTTTGACAAAAAATATTTCATAATATAAAATAAATAGAAAATTACCTTGACACAGAATATATACCATTTGCAACCAATCAAAAATTTTTTATTTTTTTTTATGATTAAAATTTTTCTTTCTATATTACCTAGCTATTTCTTATAATTAATTTATTAATCTATATCAATTTTTCTTAATAAGAAATATAACCATACCTCGTTGTTAAATATTTTCTAATAATATAGCTATTTCAATTACAGTCTAATATTTATAATAAAAATAAATCTGCAGATTTTCGAATATAATATATAAAAATCCAAGTGGCAAAAAAAAGACGTTTATATTTTACAATAACAGTTATTTGAAGAACATTTTTTTTTTTTTAAATAACTATAAGTGGCACACATATGTAAAAATGTGTTCATGTTTATTAGAATTATGAGGGATCTCCATATTTCATTATGAGGAAAAGCATTGCTTTTTTATTAATATAATGTGTTTGTTCATGTGAAAATATAAGGTTTAATGTTTTAAAATGTTCAAAACAAACCCTAAATTCAAGTAGTAAATATATAATTATATTTGTTTGAAAAATAAACTGAAAGCGGTTCTATTTTACATTATAATATATGCAAAAAATATAATTTGACAATTGTTTTGTTAATCCATGGTATATCTTTTTGCAATATTAATAATAAAGTCTATGAAGTAAAAATCTATGAAATTAGCAAAAATATTATTATGCTTGAGACCATATGGTTATAAAATGTTTTATTTTCCCATTTTGGTGTTAACAAAAATTGAAAATAATTTTAAATTATAAAATAATAATTATTATAGATTTACGCCATACTTCATTCTTTTAATGAATTCACTTAAAAATATTTTTAAAGTCATGTTTTATTAAATACATATTTGAATTTTTATTGTATATTATTTTCCATTGTTCTACGAAGTATAAATTAAGGTCTATATTTATTATTTTTCTTCAATGTTTTGGGGGGTAATAGCATTTTTCTAATATATTCATTTAAAATAATATTATAGGATTATTACATAATGTTTTTTTCTTTTTAATAAAATATAATTTTATTTATTTTGTTTTATTCATTGCTGCGACTCCATTTTATCCAGTTTTATAACTGTATACTTTTATATAATGTTACTACTTACAACGTCTAAACTATGGTCCACGTATTACATGGTGTAAATTACTTATTTTATGCATAATTTTCAAGTCATATCTTAATTGATATAATGTTTATTTTTAATAAATTTTTTAAAAAATGATATTCCTTTGCCCCTTTCAACACATCTTTATGGAAATTGTAGACACATGTTTTTCTTAGCGATAGTATTAATAAATTCAGGCATATAATTAAATTAATGTGTGCATATATACAGGATTGTAATTATTTATAATTTGATCACATTCTTATTTTATTAGCTGCTTTTTGTTACATTATATTTTAAATATTTTTACATTTTAAAATTTATAAAATAATTACATTAATTGCCATAGTTTTAATTAGGTTTATACTATATCAAGACTTAATATTAAGAAACCGAACATGTCAACTTCCATTTTTTTTAATATATATCTCTATTCTTACATCATATATAGTTTGTCTTGCTTGTACAAGCAAATAAACTGTTGTAATCTTTTCGTTCAATAAATATGTTTTTAAGTGTAACGTAGTAGTAAAATTATAAATTGTCTATCAGGTGTGAACAACATTTTAAAGTTTTATGATTAAAAGTTCTTTAAAAATACATATTCGTATTACTCAAGTAATAATTTTATCTATTAATAGGTATGGCGTTTGTACATACTATTTATAACGCTTATTTAAAAAAAAAAAAAAACGATGAAAAACAGATAATAATTCGTATAATTTGTATTAAGACATTCAAAATTTAAGTTAGTACTTGTGAACTAAAAAACTATCAACATAATGTCTAATATTTTTTCATTTCCAAGGGTCATTTATATTAATGATTTAAGCGATGCTGAACACGTATATTCCTTAGGTTTATCAGTTTTACATTTCTAAACATAAGAAATTTTACTTCCATTACAACTTATTATGACTATTTTAATAATAACATTTTACCTATTATACGTTTATCTTAAAATAAAACTTGCGTAACAAGGGGAAAAAAAAAAAAACATTTCATGTTAAAAGCATTCTGTCCAATTTAGACAGTGTAGTGTAATTACATTGATAATTGTAAATTTTTTTATTACTGAATTATAAAATTTGACAAAGTACAATTTTTCACAATTATATTGATTGAAATTTTGCAACAACTTAAACTTTCTTTGCAGTCTTTTTTTTAAATTTTAAAATAATTATGATAAAATACATCTTATACGGTGTCTTAATTTTTTCAATTTTGCAAAAACGCTTCAATTTAAGTGACATGAATTATAATTCTATTGTATTTTTATAGCCATATATTTAAAATTACGGCACACACACATTTAAATTACATACAATCGTAAATTTTCTACTAAAAAATATATAACTAGTTTTTATTACATCAGAATTCCTATAATTATGGGTATTCTTATAAAAATTCAT